AATTAATGCAGTTTTTCACTGTACACAGAAAACACACATTATCATTATATCATTTTTCAATGTTTTCAATTGTATTGTAAAATATTTAAATCGATTAAAAAACAAAGTAATTTTTGGGGGGAACATGTTTTTTAAACAATGTCTACTAAAGGCCAACAATCATTTCGTTGCGTGTCGGTTTATTTTCGCTTTATAAACAACCATTTGGTTGCGTCTCGGTTTATTTTCAATTTATAAACAACTATTTGGTTGCGTCTCGGCTTATTTTCAATTATTATTTTAATTATCTGGTTCTAAGCAGTGCGATAACTTTATCGATTCTTAGTTGATTCTCCGTAAAATTGGTTTATGACGTAAGGGACGGAGGGACAACGGGGACTTACATTCACTCATTCAGTGCGTGTATAAATCATTCATTCATTCGGTGGCTTAAAAATTATTTCGCAAAAATCCGTTATAAAGCCGAAGTCTTTTTGACATTGTCGTAAGCTTTTTCTTAATAAACCATTTGCTATTATATTGCAAGTTGCTAGAAAATGCTTTTCCCATAAAATTATTGAGCAGCTTTATGAGAACTGCTTATGCCTACTGTAAATAGCACTGGCTGTCTTTTACATTTTTCGCTCGTGAAATGTTAATCTCTCTGACGTAACGTAATATCAGCTAAGAATTTTTACATTTTTTTTCCATTACTTATGAAAGTACAGTGCAACACTTGAAAGTACTTGAAATTTCCAAAAATATTCTGTATTGAGTTTAAGTGTAATTTTAAACATAATTTATCAATTTAAGGAAAGACCATATGTTAACAGAAAGCCTTACAAATGCTTTAATAGAAGCTTTTGCCAAGGATGAAAGTTTTAAATTTGCTTTTACCAGCGTCAAATGTCTATGCTAAAAGCTTTTCTCGTATAACACATATGAAGGTATGCACATACATAACTTAACATTTCGTGAATAACATAATCATTGCAATACGAGATATTTAGGCTTAGAAATTATCGAAGTTTTTCGCAAAAGAACACAATTTAATGTAAAAAGAACAAACTTTGTATATATTTATTGGTAAACTCACAAAATCGTTTTTTTTTTTAATTCTTGTTTTCTCAATACATTTTAATTTTAACTTAAACCGCTATTCATTTTGACGACGAACAATACGCGATCCCCCGCACACGGTTTTAAGACAACTGCTCTCAAGAAGCGACTGAAAATATGAAAACTATCATATGACAGAGTCATGTTTTGAAGAGAAACAATGAGAGAGAGAGAAATCTGCTAAAGAGTGTTCACATCATTATCTTATGCAAATAAATGCACGAAAGAAAAAAAATATGTATGTTTGCATTTATATATTTTAATTTTTTAATTTTTCCGTAATATATTTATTTATATTAAAAAATTGTTAAACAAAAGAAAAACAAATGCCAAGTATTATATAAGTATTTGGTGTAAGTATAACGTTGCTTTCAGTTTATAATTCACAAAATCGTCTTTTTTTAATTCTTGTTTTCTCAATACATTTTAACTTTAACTCTTCATTTTGACGACGAACAAAACGCGATCTCCCGCACACGGTTTTAAGACAACTGCTCTCAAGAAGCGACTGAAAATATGAAAACTATCATATGACAGAGTCATGTTTTGAAGAGAAACAATGAGAGAGAGAGAGAGAGAGAGAGAAATCTGCTAAAGAGTGTTCACATCATTATCTTATGCAAATAAATGCACGAAAGAAAAAAATATGCATGTTTGTATTTATATATTTTAATTTTTTAATTTTACCGTAATTTATTTATTTATATTAAAAAATTGTTAAACAAAATACAAAAGAAAAACAAATGCCAAGTATTATATAAGTATTTGGTATAAGTATAACGTTGCTTTCCGTTTATAATTTAAAAAATAAAAACATTGCTTCTTAAATAATATTTTTTTTTTTTCGTTTTTGCGGTTTGTGTACCTCTCCTATGTATATATATGGATAAAGATAAGTGCGGGTACGTGTACGTGTTTTTTTTTTTTTCTTTTTTTTGTTCACAATATAAAACATTTTAAACTTCTTTTAAAATTGTTAGTTTTCGGTGAGAGTAAAGCTGTTTCTTTATTAATTGTTTTCTATTAATACTATTATTATTATTATTTTGTTGCAAAATAAATAAAAAATAGCCTTTACTTTCAATTGTGCTATCTTCCGATTTTGTTTCTTTTTTTTTGTTTTTTTTTTTTTAATATTTTGTGAAACAATCATTTATATATAAATATAATTTATTTTTTTCCTTTTTTATACACATGCAGAACATACGCGTAAACATACACAAATGTACAATTAATAATTTCACATACAAAAATTCTTGATTTCATTTTATTGTATAAATTATTGATTTTTTTCTTCGTTAGTTATAATTAATATTAATAAATGCTCTAACAATACTTGACGAATTCTATTTGAATTCTAATAAAACAATATTATTGCAAAAAAGCCAAATAAAAAAAAAAAAAATTTACTATTTTTAACAACTTGTAGCGAATTTGTAAAATAAATGACAATTATATGACAATAGAAAAGAAAAAAGAAAAAAAACACACTAACACACATATCTAATAATAGGCAAATTAAGGCTTTTAGCATTTCTCTTGTTCGACGAGCACGATTGCTTCTACTTATACTTATCTATAACAATTTTAGAAAAATGAAGAGATATATTCAGCATATGAATAAATGAAAAAATTTGATCAGAAGATTATTTTTTCGCTTTCATTATATCCTAAATGTTCAGAGATATCGGAAAGAATGCGGAGTAGTTGTTGCTCACAATTCGTTAATAGAAAATCATAAGCTATATATATGTTTTTTATCGGAGCGATTATCGGAACTAAGACTAGCGTTCTATCTCAAAGCGAATAAAGGTATCCACCGAGCATATTTACTTATACAGGATCATCTTAGGTTTGCCACGTTGGCAGATGCATTTTCAAATTTATCGAACGCTTACATGAACAGTAAGTATCTAGTAGTAGTAGAAGTAGTAGTTTTTTTTTTTTTTTTAGAGTAAAATCATGCAATAATACGATTGCACTTGAAAAGAATGTTAATGCATGACCAGCACTGATAAATCGATAAGCATTGATTAAACGGAGGAGATGACATGAATGCTAACAGTATACTTAAAAGCAATTGAAGCAATTATGCAACATTTATTTATGGCTGGAGAGGATGCTACGATTGTACTATCAAACATTTCTTCAAACTAATGACGCTACCTAATATATTAAGATACAAGATAAGATGATGAATTAAAGCGCATGTTAACTGTGAGATTGCGGTATATATTGATTTTAGTTTTGAAACATAATCGATGAGTGTGTATGATTCAAGCCGAAGTCATTTAAAAATATCATCTAAATTGATTTAATCTCTTTGTCCCTCTAGAAATCCCTATCTAGAAATTAATAAAAAAAAAAAAAAAAAAATTTTCCTTCTTATGTACTGACCTTACTTAATATAAGAACAATAAAAATATAATAAAACGGAAAAATTTTAAACGAAACTCGACACGTTTTGTTCTTCTCCAGTAGGTGGGGTAAAAATTGCGTATATAACGGTGCCTACAATAATAATTCCTTTGTTTAAGTCCTTTTTTGTATATTACTTGTTATGCTAGGTATCCTTTTTAATTACGTTTAAGTGTAAAGTGCAATAAAATTTTTGCCATTTAAACATATAATTAAAAAAAAAAAAAGAAAAGAAATTCTTTTTTATCATTTTACATAAATCCAAGAAGTCTTGTATTTTGTAAATTCTTTTTATATAATTTCTTTGTTTTTAATTGATTTAATTTTTTTTTTTTTTTAGTGATTTAGTTGGATTTCATATACATATACAGATAATAATATGAAATTAACAGGAATGTCGTATAGTTTTGTAGTTGTTGCTTATATAACTTTCCTTTTTTATGCGTGTAATTCGTTTTTTTGCTTTATTTTGTTTTGTTTTTAAATAATTTAAATACAATGAGTGCGAATTCCTTTAAATTAATTAAGATTTTATATTAGAATCAAAACAAAAAAAAAAAAAAAAAAAAAAAAAAAAAAATAAAAAAAAAAATAAAAAACGCAATTAAATAAAAAATAAAATTAAATATTAAAGCTTTGTTTACTTTTCATTCTGAGTTTGCATTCTTTTTTGCTTTTTTTAGTATAATTATTAAAATGCTAGGAAAAAAAATGTATTTTATTCTTAAAGAAAGGCAATTACGTATGCATATATATATATGTATATATATATATATATATACATAAGTGTTCTTATATTATGCTATGCAATTCCTATAAAGGATAAGCCGAACGAAAAAAAATAATATAATTATTTAATATAGTTTATGAGTAAATATATATGAAAAAGTTAATTGAAAAACAAAAAAAAATTTTATTCAACTGAAAAACTTTCATATTAAAGTAAACTTTTCATATATAATATAATCGAACAAGTAAATTATTTATATGTTACAGCTTAAGCAATGCACATGACGATATTGAGTATAACGTATACATATCCATATATATATATATATATATAAATACATATATATATTATATAAGCTAAACAATAAAAACACTTAAACTGTACCGCTGAAGTGTAGACGAGTTTTTCTCTCCGCACTTTTTCTTATCTCCATCTCTTAACCTTTCCTTTCAAAAACCGAGCATTACTTTTTTTTACAAAAAAAAAAATAAAAAAAAAAAAAAAAAAAAAAAAAAAAATATTTAAAAATAGAAAAATTTTCATTTTTTTAAATGCAAAATTTTTTTTTTTTTTTTTTTTTTTTTTTTTTTTGTTTTTCATTCGAATTCTGCTCTTTTTTATACAATAGTTTCGTTAAAATCTTCTTCTTTTTTTGTTGTTTTTAAATAAAAAAAAGAATTAAAAATTTAATTTAGTTTTTCGTTTCTTCGTATTTTTAAATGCCATCTCTCAATAATAACTAAAACACTGTTACGAGTGTGGGATTAGTGCGATTATGCTTTAACATATATGGCTGGCTAGCTGGTTGGCTGGCTGACTGATTGGCTGACTCTGGCTGATTGGCGATCGTATGACATATACATTAATTGGCCTCGTGTTTAGGCTTCGGTTTCCGCGCCTTTTAATCTTAAACGAGCGAAATCTTCAAATATGATATCATCATCTTGGGCATCATCGTCATCCAACTGTATAAGATTAGTGGTTGGAACTTCTTGCATTGAAGAGCAACTCGCTGCATTACCATCATGTCCCGCTACTACCAATTGAGCGTCTCGTAAACTTTGACGCGGTGATTTATCACCCAATAAAGCATTCTCATCATCTTCGGGCTTAGGATGCATTAATGTAAATGGTAATTCGGCGACTAAATCCCCGCCCAGCAATGGTCCACTTATTAATAATTTCACTTTAACTTTATAATGCACAATAATACCCAAACTTTCACGTTGAGCTGGATTTGTAATAAGTGTACTCGATGCTAAATTTGTATCTTCATGTTTTAATTGACCATCCAAAGCTAAGCCCCATTTATCTTTATTATTGGCCAATAGGGGACACAATTCGAAGACTTTTGATAATGTAAAACCCGGCAATACTTGGCAACCATCTTCGGATTCAGTTTCGGCCACTACCGATTTATATTGAGCCGTCGAAAATAAACATATATCAGCAAATTGTCTTACGCAGACTTTAATCTTTTTCACGGTGCGATTCGAATTGTTCGCAATATGAACATTAATTGAAATCTTTTCGCCATGATGATACAGTTCCTTATCAAGACTCGCTTCCAAATGAATTTTATTCGGTTTCATCATAAACTCTTTGCTTACTTCAATCGATGGTTGTTCACCTACCTTAGACGGCGCATACATCACTTTCCGTATCGTTAAACGTACCGAATTACGTTTATGCGGTTTATCATCGATATGTTCACCTGTAGCAGATCACCGCAAAATTATAAAAAAATATTAGTTATATAAAAAAAAAAAAAAAAAAAAATTGAAATAAAATCGTCAATATTCGTAAGAAGCTGATGCCAATCTCTTCTCTTCTTGCTAAATTTTTACTCGTTTAGAACACACATAGTTTCGATATTACACGATACAAAGATATGAGTTATTGGTATAACACGTTTTTAAAAAAAAGACGAATATTTATAATATTCCCCACGGCATAGACATTTCTTCGAATTTTTCTTTTTGAGAACTTGACAATATTAATAAAGTTTTTTCATAAACTTTTTACCTGGTCTGTCTATAATAGTTCGGAAAGTGAATAGCGAAGAGTATCGAAAGTTAATAACTGTTGTTGTTCGCGAGGTGCGAAATAAATTTAAAATCAATTGATCTGCAAAAGAAGGATTAGCTTTAGCTAAAAAAATTGATTCATTTTTTTTGATTGAAAAAGACGCTTTAGCGTCTCGTAGGGAACCACATCAGATAGCTTTTGTATTGATAGAGATATAATTAGTGAACTTTGGCGAAAAGATATCCCTCAATTTATGATTGGAGTGTTGATGGAAATGATCACTGCTGAGGGCTAGTGGAGAGTTTTGCTAATCATTTAACTTGCGTTCCCTCATATCGAGAATATTTAGATTAATTTTGTTAAAGTAAAATTTAATTCAAAAAAGATTTAACAAAAATAGGGCCAGCCGGGAACTTAATCTTGTAATTTTGTTAATTTAATTGCAAATATCATTAAATATATATGTAGGTAATAGGTCGTATTGAAAAGTCTCCGCGGTTTGGAGCTTCTTTTTATAGCCTGTTCTTTTCAAATGATTCCAAACTGTCATGTGGTTGCCGCTTGGTGCCTCTGCTATTTTCTGGCAGCTTGCGTGCCTGTCTTGCTCTACCAGTTTCAAAAATTTCACCGATTTTTTCAGTGACTAAGAGGGGCATGGAATGCAGCAAACTACACCGATGCCTTCGCTCACTCACGGTTTTTTTTTTTTAGCCTTTTTATTTATTTATTTAGTTTTTTTTTTGTAATAAGAAAGCATCGCATAGCGCATTTCTCTAGATATTTCACTCACTTTCAAATCATATATAAGAATGTAAGAAACAATCAGATAAGCATTGCCCGATATACAGGCATCGACATCAATCCGTGGAATAAACCGTGCAGAATTTTTAATATGAGCTAATATTTTAAATCCGAATATACTTATATCGATCTATTTTACAATTCTTTGTTATTACAAGAAATTCAAAAAAAAAAAAAAATCGAAATTTCAAGACTACAGCGTTTCTATCGACAAATCAAGCCTGAAATGGAATTTTGGGATCGTTAAAATTTAACATAAATATCCTCAGTGACTTATACAGATCATCTTTTCGCATATATTTCTTTCTCTCAATTCATAGCATAGAGAAATTAATCGAGATTACGGCGGCAGTCGGTGGGCGACAATCATCCAAGTGATTATTTCAATAATTAAATTATCCAAAGGAAAGAAAATAAGTAATAAATGCACACATGCAAAACGAAAGCGTATGAATTAAAATTCAAAAAAAAAAAAAAACAATATAATAAATAAATAAATAAAAAAAAAAAGAAATGAACTTAAACGCTGCACAAATAGAGTGCTTTGTTTATACGAAACCTATAAATAAATATCTACAAGCAAAAACACATATATATATGTAAATGCAAGTAGTAAAGGAAATAAATTTGAATAACTTTTCCTTTTTTTTTTTTTTTTTTTTTTTTTTTTTTTTT